TCACTTCCTCCACTATTCTTCTCTAATTGAGTGGAAGATAGTAAGATTTGCCAAATTGTTCGGCACTTCGTTAATTCATCCTTTCTTAGGCAATTAACAATATTTTTCAATATGTTTTTAATTTTAATTAAAATAACTCTGAATAATTTTTCCGTAACTAAATATAGAGTTGGGGACGCTAACTCTCTAGTAACTTTATAGTTTACTCATCCCTCCTGTGCTTCTACATAACATAGAAGCATGAACAATATTGGGTTGATTTTTTACATTTTGTGTTAAAGAAATTAAGGAGTTACTGAAGCAAGTGTTGCCTACAGATGTAAAACCATGACGTGAGATTTAAGACCTCGTAATTTACTACCAGTAGAGTAATTTTGCGCAAACATTAGAAGTTACGTCTCCAACTTTGGACACAAATATTGAGTGTGATATTCAAAGGGCATAGTCTTAAATTTTCGGAAAAAAATATGGGAAATAGGATTACCATTACGTAGTTTATGAGATATTTTATCTTTCACGTCATTAATGTTATAAAATTATATGTCGAATAAAATAATATTTGACTTAATTGCTTAAATTGTGCTTGTTCTCTTTAAATTCGAAATCCTACATCTCTTAAAAAAAGTTTCACCGCTGCAAATGTTGAAACTAAAATATTAGCAGATATCGGCGGTATCGTCGATATGTTCTGCTAATTGTCAAATTGGCACTTCAGCTAATTAATGATTAATTGTTGGCCTCATTTCACCCCACTTGCCACTGCTAGGTATAACAGTCATAAATAAATGATATGACATATGTTATATGTTTGAAAATAATATGATACCGCATATATATTTTTAAGATTTTAATATTAAATATGTTCGGATTAAATAATTATAATAATATCATATGATTATTTGATTATAATATACTATACAATTATATTATAATATGATTACATTATATCATACGTACCGTATAATACATTATTATGATGTATTTATGTAGTAAGTATATTAAGTATAGTAAGTATATTTTGTAGAATATATATACAGTATTATTACCTTTTATGGTAGGTTAAGTATTAGGTGTTACTTCACTTTAAATCATCCAAGTACTATGAATAGTATCGGACATTTGTAAATAGATAGTTGAACATATACTTTAGACAAAATAAAAAACC